TGGTTCAGTTGAGCACCTTGACTAATGTGGACCTGGAGTGGAGTTTGGAGACTGGGACTAAGGAGAGAGGGCTGTGTTTTTCTTCACTATAGGATGAGAACTTGAGTTCCTGGGGGATATGGGAGGGGAAGTTGAGGAAGAATGATGTGGAGAGAGAGGTGGAGTGAGGAGCTGGCACAATGACCAGAGGCAATGTGGCCTCCAGTGGCCAGTGAAAAAGCTCCAAGAGTCCCCCTCCCAAAAAATAATTCTCAGAAAAATTTTTGAGAGCAATGGTCATTTTAGACAGACATATTCATTATTATAGAAGATTTCAGAAATAAGGTGACCCTAGTTAATTCAAGTAATATTAAAATAATTATAAAATGAATCTATTCAACAAAAAAATCAAATATCCAAATTACTATCAAATACAACTATTTAACAGGAAAATATCAACTTCTAACACAAGTAACAGGAGTAACGCTTTATATTGTCCGTTTTCCCATTCAACCTTTATCTTTGTTGTGATAGAGAATAAAACCTAAATTTGAAATATTCACAACTTGCCCCAGCTTATCTCCAAAGAAGAAGAGCTTTTGGTTTCAGTGGTGGACACTTGTTCTGATCAGGGTGGTGGGTGAAGGTGCAGAATTGAAGACGACGAGAGAGTATTTGATCACTGTGCGTAAGACGGGAAATAGAGCTACTGGGGTTGTGGAGTTAATGAGGGGAGAACAGATCAAGGAGGAGGGGGAGGTGAGCTGATATAGGAATCAAGTCAATATGTATTGGAACTTCCTGTGTGTATAGCTCTGTGCCATGTGATGCAAACAAAAGTCCTTTCTAAGCAAAATCCTGCAGTCAATGCAGGTTGAGTCAAATTTTCTATACATTCAAATTATTTACATGTGTATCTGAATTCATCAGTTGTTGGTGTACACTGAGAAATGTATGGAAAGCAGATGGTACCAGCTCATAGGAGGAGATCCATGAATACTGAGCATGGATTACTGGAACTTCCCTAGGATGGGGAGGACCTCACCCGCAGCTTGTGGAAACTTTGGATTTACTAGTTTTGTGATCTTGGGCTGGTCAATATTTCTTTATTGCTTTATTTCTAAAATGGAAATATATCTAACTTGCCTAAAGACCAGTGGGCTAGGTAAGGGGATCTGTTAAGGTCCCTTTTAATTCTAAGATATTATGGTTTTAGAAAGTGTTAGCACTGAATCATGTTTTACTAGCATAGGCTTTTCAAGGAGACAGACTTGGATTAAAATCTCTTTTGCAACACTTACTGGGGGTGACGCCAGGCATGCTACTCAATATTTCTCATTTTCTGTTTCCTATTTTGTAAAATGAGACTATCTCTTAGAGCTGTTATAAGGATAAAGTCAGATAATGTTTGTAAACCACTTAGTGCAGTTCATGGTCCATGAATAGCTCTCAATAAATGGTAAATATGAAAACCACCACACCCATAACCACAAACATAGGGCTTGAGATCAAAATGGTATAAATGCTTACAGTTTTTTGGACTGAAAAATAAACCTAACTAGAATACCCAACTCCAGATATTTCTGTCTAACAAATTGATCCTAATGTGTGAAATTATGCTTGCAAAACTATTTAGTATACAAATGTAACAATTAGTTTACTTTTATATAGATGATGATAATGCATTTGCATAGACATTAATTTTCTTTCTATTTGAAACTTAAAAATATGATTCTGAATTCACAGTAAGAACAGTACAAAATTGTTAGTAACTTTCAAAAACATAAGGTGGGATATTAGATACCTCTGTAGTCTGCATATTGGAAAGTTTATTCTCCCATCTTTTGGAGGTGGGAAATATGTCAGTATTCTCCTTTTTTTGTGTAAGAATGGTCTGTTTTTCATGTGCTAGTGGTCTGTTCTGGGAAAGCCTCTTTCCTTTTCCTTCTGCATGGTTAGAGAAGAGAATTGTTAGAAGATATGTCAGTGTCAGGACCCAAGGCAAAGACTGAGTGGTCTTGTAATTATTCACTTGGACCCTAAAAGTGAGGACCTTACCAGCTAGGCCAGTGCTTGGTAAAATACTAAAGTGGATCAAGTTTATGTTTGGGCCCCTTCTATTTCCTATTTCCTCACTTGTTCCCTGACTGTCCAAAGTATTGAGTAAAATGATTGTTTTTGCTTAATGATACTGTTTCAGGAATGAGTAAAGCATTTGCTGATAAGGACTTAATACAACTCTTCCTGGGGATTGTTTTTTAACTTTTAATTTTGAAATAATTCTAGACTCACAAGAAGTTGCCCAAATAGTACAGAGAGATCCCATATATCCTTCATCTAGCTTCCTCTAATGGTAAAAGCTTACATAACCATGGTACATTATCAAAACTAAGAGATTAACGTTGGCACAATACAGCTAACCAACAGAGGAAATTTTAAAGAATGAAAAATTATCAAGGCTGAAAGGAAAACTTTTCTGAATCCTAATGTTACCCCTCTCTGTGTGCACTTAAGATTTTGCCCTTGTCACACTGTTTGGTAATCTTAGATTAACTTTCTGTCTTCTCCACTCTATCCCTTCAGAACAGGGATCGTGCCATAGTCACCCTTTAGTCCTATTGCTTATTAAAGTAACTGGCATTCAATAAGTATTTTTGGTTAAAAGGGTGACTAACAGTTGCTTAAGTCTTTAGAGGCTTTACATTTTCAAATCCTTTTTATACATGTTATCTCTACAGAGAATGTTCATCATCTAGGGGACAGGGCATAGACTTTGAGAGCATTCAAATCTTGGTATTTATTAGCTTGAGTCTTGTGACAAGGTACTGAATGTCCTTGGATCTTGCCTTCCTCTTGTGCTTCATTGTTTTCACATAATAGGGTTGTTGTGAAGATTCAAGGAGGTAATTTATGTAATAAATAGGGGCTCTGGGAGGTAGATAGGGTAAAAGATACTACTGCCATTTTACAAACTAAGGGTAAATAATTTTATTGCCATTTTATAAACTAAGGCTCAGAGAGGGTAAGTCATTGTGGAAAACCATAAAGCTAGTACATGGTAGTGCTGCTAAACACCTTAGGTCAGCTGTCTTCCCTGATATCACATTGTCTTTCCCAGGCAACAGGAGAGTGGATTAAAAAACAAACAACAACAACCATGAGATAGCTACAGAAATTTACGACTTTATGTAGTTGTTGAGTTCTTTTGCTATATGTACAGGAAATCCTCTCTTAGGTGGGGCTGGGTGATGAGACAAACTAAAAGGTGAGTCAAGGGTGTGAGTTACTCTTTCAGGGGGTCTCTGTCAAATACCCCTCCACTCCACCCAACCAGTTGACATTAATATAGCCAAGAATCTTGCTTGCCAGACTCAGCATCAGATGTTTATGCCCTCATCCCCTGTGGAAGGCATGGGAGGACGAGACTTGGAGCTCTCAAGTACTCACATTGCATTATCAAAATTTTTTTAAATCAAAAGATAAATTTAAAAAGTTGGAGGGTTTTGACATTATCACCACCATCATTATTATCATTGTTTCATGCTCATGAAAATAATTTTTTATTAACAAAAGAGAACATGTAAACATGGAACTTTTTTACTAATCTGACATGGCTGGTAACACATTAGCCAAAGTTGCTTCTCAACCTGCCCTGAACACCTTTTACATACCCTTGAATTCCCCATTCTAGAATGCCTATTTTGGAAGCATTCCTTTGGCTTATACAATGTATTCATTTCATTGTAATGGAACAGGAGATGGCAAAATATGTTGTTGATTTATGTGACTGTTGGCTACAAATGTCAAAAACTGATAGTTTAAACACTTGGATTATAATTAGAAACATTCACTTTTTGCTGGTAGTTTGCAATTTGACTTTTCCCTCTCTAGTTAAAAAATGGGAATGTCAGTAATCAAGATTAGAGATGGAACTAGAATGTTTCTTCAGGATTCTGAGTCTTTTTTTGGGTTTTGTTGCTGTTTCTCACCTTTGATCACTAAAGTGAGGTGTACTGGAGGTCAGGTGGAGAGAAAGGGAGAAAGGAAAAAAAAATCACTTTGGTGCAGTACGTCCATCAGAATTGGGAGAGTTAGGATTGAAATTTACTCTGAGACATTCCTCAATAGAATATCTTAGTGTAAACAAACTTTTGCAAATTTTTAAGAGACAGAGCTATGTAAACATGCTTGTGAATTTTCAGTTTTTTAAAGTTTAATTATTTCCAGCATCATAAGATAGTAAAGGTACCCAGAAAGTTTTCTTTCTTGATTTGCTTTGACTTTCTCATTATTTATTACCTAAGAAACATAAAAATTTTATTTCTGTTTACATAATATAATTTAAATAGGGTTTAATGCAGAACATCTCTTTCTCTTGATTAAAAAAAGATTTTCTGAAAAATAAACTATGGCACACATAGAGAAAGCAAAAATCATCATTATGGCAAAAGTAAAATATCCACTTGGGCTCCTTGTGTGTTTTTCATTGCTTTGTGTTTTCTCTTTCCTTTCAAGGCACAGTGAGAAACCTTGCTAAATAAAAAAGGAGTTTTATGAATGCATCTCTCTGTGGGGAGGCACACCTATGATATGAAATCACACAGGACTAGGACAACGAAACGTTACAACTCCACAGAAACTGGAACAAATGGAAAGACTTCCCCAGGATATTTCAATGGGCATATTCCTTGAACACAGTCTCTTTAAGGACTGCTCCTCTTGAAATATTATAAAATTATTTATAAAATAATTGTTAATATCAGTTAGGCAAATTGGTTGCTAGGAAGTATAGGTTTATATGGCACGTTAGCCTTGCTTAACTATTGATGCTGACAATATATTCCAGTTTTTAATATAAATACTAGAAACGTATTAAGAAGAATAATTTTCAAGGGAGATTACAGTTTTATCAGAAAAAGCATTTTTATCTTAAAAGCATAAATGTAAGTAATACACATTTGTACTTGCGATTATTTCATAAAATAGTAAGGTATACAGAATTAAATGCTGAACATACTTACAATATTCTCCAAAAATTAAGATGTAGAAGAAGACAGCACCAGATGTCATTTCCTTCTTTCTGAGCAACTGATTAATAAAAGTGAATACAATTTGGTCTTGGTTCCTGAGGCGCATACGGCTCACGGTGATTGTGTGCTATTTCTGTCTGCAATCTTAGCAGCTATAAAGCAGTCCTCCCTCCTTCCTCTCTCATTTCCTCTCCCTCTCTCTTTCCATTCCCTCTTCTTTTCTTTCTTCCTTTCTCTGTCTCAGAATCTCTCCTCCCCACCCTCCTTCTCTAAAAGTCTTATTATCCTTCTTGACGCACGCACATGCACGCCACACATACACCACACACACACACACACGCCCGCACGAACACAGACAAAGCTGAGCAGCGAAGAAAAGTTACAGACAGGCTCTTCTCACTGACTCTAAACATTTTGTTTCCATGTCCTGTGGCAGTCTACAAATGAGGGTGAGGATGATCACTGACAAAAGTCTGAACTGATCGAAGTCACGCTACCGGAAAGAAATTGAACTAGAGATACGTTACAAACAAAAATAGTTTTTCCCCTATGACTTGGGAATAGGAAAAGAACAGAATGACACAGAGCAAAATGCCTTGTGGAATTAACTATAAGGCATCAATAAAAGTGTAACTACAGCAATCTTTTATGATCTGAGTTTAGGCGTTTGAATGATAGGCTATTGTTCAAAGAAAAATACAAAGGAATAAAAAACAAATCTTAAATTTTCTTGAGCTCTTGAGTTTTACCACAGTGAAGACCATGACATGTCATTAGTTGTGGAGTAAAGCCTTCCTGGGTTTGGGTCATAGTCTGTTACTTTCGAGTTGTGTAGTTGCTTACTCTTGGCTTTCCAGAGGAAAAGATCTATCCAGCAAGGTATCCGTGGTGATCAGCACAGTGCATACTGAGTGTCTGGCATAGGTCCTAGTGCATAATAGGTGATTACTACATGGCAGCTATTCACAGGATGATGATTTTTATTATTTTTATCAGTGGGGAAAAAAGCCTGCAAATGCAAAGGACCTGTCTAGGGGATACATTTTCTTTTAACCAGGCTATATCATTCTTATTTTGCAACTTGATAATTTATTGCTATAACAAATAGGTAGCACCTTGACATGAGAAATTTGTTTGTGAGGTTAATGCCTCCTAACCACTCTACATGTAGAATCTATTGAAATTACCTATCTTTATATCATTAACTTCAACACAAGAAGCCTATTTCTAAGTGGTGGCTAAAGTTTATATAAACACTGCTTTTCTTTTTTTTTTTTTTCCTGTGGAAGTAATTAATACTATGAAAGGAGAAATGAGGTATAGTAATCTTCACAAGTCCTTATTCGTTTAACAGTAGATTTATTTACTGAAGACACGGTTCTTTTGGTAGAAATGCTTATGGTTAACTGAATTTGAATGCTCATTTAATGTTCAATAAATGTTTATTATTTATAATTACACTTGAAATGTTTTCAGTGGTTAATGACTTTTTATTTATTTTAGAAATAGTGTTTCCTGGAAGGATGCTGTGGGACATGTCAAGGGCCACATCTGAAGGGGGACCCATAAGAAGCTTCTCAACAGTAAAGCTGAGGAACTGGCTTTGGGAATTGTCCGTTATCAAGTAAGCTGTTGATTTAGACGTTTTCAAAGTAATCCTGATGTTATTTGGTTAGCTTTTAATATTTTGCCTGAGTTGATATCACATACATATACAATTAGTGGGCCGGTAGCCAGGAAGTACTCTTTAACGATATATACATGCAATGTATTTTTAATCTGAAATTATCAGTGCAAAACTTCAAAATAATTTCTCATTTTGCTAAGACTGTATTAGATTTTGCTAAAATGATATTTACCAGAAGGAACAATGTTAGACATTTGTTTTTTCAGGACACCACGTCTTTCTTCTTTTTGGCAAAGACAGTGAATCTGAAATATTAGTTTTATATAAGCATATTGGTGGAAGATCCCAAGAGTGGACATAGAGTACCCCTATAATACATTGCAGCGGGCGCTATTGGTATTTTGGGTCAGAGAATTCTTGTGAAGTGCTGTCCTTTCCACTGTAGGACGTTTAGCAGCATTCCTGGCCTCTACCCACTAGATGTCGATAGCACTCCCTAGTTGCCACAATTAAAAATGTCTCCAGACATTGGCAAATGTTCCCTGGGGAGCAAACTTGCTCCTGATTGAGAAAAACTGCATTGTAGCCAAAGACTTCCGTGAACAATGTTTAAGGATTGATTTTTACCAGATAATTAAAATAAGAATTTTTCTCACCTAAAATTTAAAGTGTGTTTTCTCCTTTTCTTGCTTTGCAGTTTGAAGACATACATCAAAGAGTTTTAAAAACAAGCAGTTGGTGTATTCATAGCCTTCTCTTCCAGCCCACATTGTTTGGTTATAAACTTGCACTACGGGCCCTGTAGAGTCTGTGATGTCACTGCCTCTACTAGGCTGAGCACGTCAGGGGTTTCCACCCTAGATTTGTTGCTGACACAGGCTAATAGAGATTAACACCCTTTCTTATCTTGGGACCTCTTCTTAAAACCTTATTGAGACTCTCTGAATAATAATAAAACCTTCTATTTGAAAATTATTTCTCAGAACAACCTAATGAGTCAAGCCAGACAAGCGTTATATAGATTCTGTTATATGTAGATTCAAGTTTTTAATCTTGTGATTTTCTACACTCCCACCACTGAAATACACTACTCTGTTTTTCAGCATTATATATATATATTTTTTTAAAGATTTTATTTATTTATTTATTTTCCCCCCAAAGCCCCAGTAGATAGTTGTATGTCATAGCTGCACATCCTTCCA